CATGTCTGTAGAAGAGCTGCTGGATGCTGGCGCTGAAGTGAAAGAAGTGGTTTGTAGAGCACCAGCTTGGCAATTGCAGGTGCTTGTGGACAGCCTTGCAAGATGCCTTTGCGGTAGTGCTGAGGATCTGTGGCGATGCCTTCGGCTTGAATGACTCTTGGGCCTCGGTAGAGGTCGATGGCCATCTTCAGGTGGAGTAGAGGATACTCAAGCTCCCTTGCAGGCTGAATAAGCTTGTCAAGATCGACAGTGTCATAAAAGCAGCTGAGGTCTGCTAAGCACGTGACGGTGTGGATGTCGTTGTGTTTGCAAAGCTCAGATTGGAGCATCCTTCCAACTGCTATCGAGAGACAGTCCTTTTTGGGTCTCGCATGGTCCCAAGGCATAGCAGTGTCGAGTGAAAGCTGCCACTTGACGATGTCTTGCTTGCGGATTCGGTTCCAAAGTCTGTAAAGACATGACGTCAAGGCTATTGGCCTTTCCACTTTGAGGCTCTTTGGTATCATCACGATGTTGACCATCCTCAATTGCGTTGGGAGGAGAGCTTCTTGTTCCATTTGATTGAACAAGTTGGCCAATTGGGCTATCGCCTCAAAGGGGAGCTGCTTGATGAAGTCATAGGAGATTCCATCAGGTCCAGAAGCCTTGTGCGGCAGTTTCTTGATCACCCTTTGAAGGCTGAGCGGGTTGATGGGTTGGAGAGTGCGTGCCTGTTCAATGGCATCTTCTCTCAACTCTCTGAAGCCTCGGATGTGACATGGTTCATCAACCGGCATCCAAATGGCTCCCCACTGGCTCTGCCTGGCCTGTAGACGTTCTTGGAGAGGTAGATCTTGGAAAGGTCGTTGCTAGGGGATATCTTTCTGACGAAGACTTCTGAAGAGTCCTCTGAGGCCCTTGGAATGAGCTTGGGCCAGCCAGGTCTTGTACTCTTCAGAGCTAGCCAGAGCGATCCCGATGTGAGCTTGATGTTCTTGGGCCATGATGAGATCCTGTAGCGCTTGAGGATCTTGGTGTGTGTTCTCGACCCATTGAGAAAGAGAGGCGCTGAAATTGCCCTGGTCCAGATCTTCTGAAGCATGCTCAGCGAGGCTAGGGATCATGTTGAGAAGGTCCTGTTTGACAGCTTCGTTGTCACTGTGATGAAGAACGCTGATCCGGACAGACATTTTCTCCCAAAAGGCTGGTCTGCCTTTTTTCCACAACTGAGCAGGGTGTGGTCCTGCCAAAGGGCCAGTGTAGAATTCAACTTGGTACCCTCTTCCTCTTCGCGGTTGTTGCTCTCTGACTTGGCGCACCGTCTAGCAAGATCAGTGCCAAGGCCTGTGATCTGGTAGTTGAGGATGTAGAAGGGTCCGTTGGGTTCCTGAAATTCTGACCATCCATGATGTGGATTGAGGGCCTTTCCAATGGGTGGGAAAGCTCGCATTTGTTGGACCGGAATGGCCAAATGCTCAGTGTGGTACTTGAGATTCAAGGCGCAATGAGGTCTCCACGGGACTTCCCAACTGATGTCAAGCGTCAAGGAGCCATGAAGAGAATTGGAGACGAGGAAGTAGTCAATCTCGCTTCCTTGCAACGTCGTGGGTGCTTCTCCAGCGAGAAGGTGGGCTTTGAACTTGCTTTGGATGACCATAGCAGCCAACTCACTTGGTGGGTTTTGCCAGTCACCACCTATGATGAAAGGAGCCTTGAGGATCTCGAGGAACCCAAAGAGGTTGCTGAGAATCTCTGCGTTCAAGGGTGACTGCAAGGTTTCTCCAGTACGTAAATAGAGTTGTATGATAGCCATATGGAGACCGTCTCTTTGATATCCAACGGCCATCCAGCCATTGCCTTCCTTGCAGAAATGTTGCAAACTGTGGAGATGATGGTGAGGAGGATGCAGGCATAAAACCCCCCCTGTGTTGCCTCCTCTTCCGGTGGCCGTGGCCGAAACTCCCAGAGCCCGCCAACCTCTGGTGATGAAATATTGCATGACTTCCTGTAACTTGTTGTCGTTCAGGTGAGTTTCCTGCAAGAAGAGGAGGTGATCTGCTTTGGACCATACCCAGTCCTGAACCTTCTTGCCAAAGGAGGTGACATTGGCGAAGCACATCAGGACATCTTCGTAATGAGTTTTGCTCTTTTTGAGGACCGGTTCATGATGAAGTGGTCATCCGAGTCATCTTCCATGTGGTCATGTACAAGCCACACTTGAAGCACTTCAGATTCTTGTTGTGGAGTAAGGCCCCCAATCGGTTGTGGATATTGGTTGTCATCAACACTCCAGAAGGCATTATCTAGTGCGTAGATGGCGGTGAAGTGACCGCTGTGATGAGTCTCTCCGTGATGCAAGATCATAGCCACTGTCCTGTATCCTGCTTTGGAGATGGAGACCCCATCATTTGAAAAGGGGACAGTGATGACCGTCGGAACCTCTAGCTGTCGGTGGTGTTTGGTCCACATGTTCTCTTGGCATTGAAACCTCTGAATGTGGAAGATCAAGCAATCTGGGGCTCCATACAGGTGTTGACCTTCTTCTTCTTTGGCCCACTGGTTGACCAGTTCGTCCAACGAGATCGTGGTTTCTCCCGGTGGACATATGAGATTGATCGGGACCTGCTCCCGTTCTTCCAGGACTCCATTGGACTTGAGGTGGAAGAACTTGCCTCCGATGTTTTGAGGAGCGGCTGTGGTGTAGAGGTGACCCACAAAGTCCCCTACATCTGCTTGTTGTTCATCTTCAAAATGAGCCCATACATCCATGAGCTCATGAATCTGTGTCAGCAGGCACGGTCTGGAAGAGGAGAGAAAGGCTCTGAAGGCCTGGTGAAGTCTGCCCCACGTGCGAGTGGGTTCCATGGTGAAGCAGCTCAACCAACTCCAGCACCTGAAGACTGAGTTGCCAAAGCATAGGTTGCCATCATTGGCGGCTATGCTGGTGAGATTCTGGGCGATCAGGCCTGAGTTGGCCTGAATGAGAGGAGGGTCTCCTTGAAGGCCTTGGTGTTTGTACACCAGCCTCTCCATTCGTTGAAGGTCAGCCAAGAGCTGCTGACCATGACCCTGAGTCGGAGCTCGTAGGTACTCCTGGCATGATGCTTGGAGGTCTTGATGTCCTGTCTGTAGGAGCTGTTCGTGTGCGAGGTCGTGAAACTCTTGTTCACTATCCATGTCTTGGAGGATGTGGGCCAATGCTTGGAAACCTGAGGTCCCGTTGACAGCACCCTTGGGGGGGAGGCTCTGATGTAGAAGAGCACGGCGCCTCTGGTTCCAGCAATGGGCCGCCTCCCCCTTTAACTTTGACTGTGGAGTGGGACCTCAAAGGTCCATAGGAAGCAGTTGAGGCTCTGGCGGTACAGCTTGAGCCCAAACTGAGATGGTTGGTGAGGTCAAGGAAGTTGTCATTTTCCCTGCAACTTGATTGACCAGAACCCCAGTCCATGTGCGTACATGGTTTGGACCCCAAAGTGTAGAAAGAAGCGTGAGTCAAGTCGTGCTGCAAAGCCTCAATGGCCTGGTTACCCACGTGACTGTTCCTTGTCACCTTCTGCAAGCTTACGACGCTTGGCATCATCTTCATTGTTGGAGGTGGGCCTTTTGAGCATCGACTTGAGCTGGTCCTGCTGCTCTTGTGTGAGACTGACTCCAAGAGTGCTGATGAAAGCAGCTACAGCTTCTGGTACTGGATCCTTCATTTCGGCATCTTCAACTAAATGCACTGGATCAGGCTGTTTGGTGACCAGGGTCATGTAGGCCGTGCTGGTGTTGTTGAGCTCGGCTTGTTCTTGTTCGATCTTGGTCTGGATGAGCTTCATCTCATTCAACAGGTCCTGAAAGGCCTTCTTGGTGGCATCAATCTTGGACTGCAAAGTCTGTTTCCTATGGGACAAATCCCTCAAGCTGGAGACCTGTTGCTTGAGCTTGTTGGCAACATCCTTTTCCGTGGGTGGCTGAGGTTTCGTGATCTTCTCAACCAACTCCTTCACTGGTGCCGGAAGTTGCGCCAGGTTGTCCCTGAGCACGTCTTGCAAGTCTGGCTCAGGACTTGGAGGAGGTGGGGAGATGCCAATCTCGGTCAACTTCTGTTGAAGTCCCGGGTCAAGCTTGTTCCATGAGGATGCAAGAAGCTCTCCGGTGAGTTTCTGAACTTTGCTAGGTCTGCTGTTGTTTTTCCATAGACCAGGAGGTGGCGTGACACTTCGGGTGGTCTTCCATCTTGCTAGCCTGACCTCGGAGCAAATCCTTGCGGAGGTTTCTGCCACGAAGTGCCGCACTGCCTGCAGACTGTTCCTTCTCTTGCCAAATCCAGTTGTGACATGAGGATGTCTGGCAGACTTGGTAACCACGGCACCATCTTGTCGAGCTCGTTGGGGTCATGGTGCTCCAGGATGTCCACCGATGGTGTGGATGCCCGCGTCCTTCGCGAACTGGCCGGAGGGATTCGGTGTGATGTAGATCACCCTCGAGCTCGGCCCGATGTGCGTGGCACACCAGGCTTGATGCTGAAATGGCTTGAGCCATGTATGTATGTATGTATGTATGTATGTATTTTTTTCTCCTAGAGAGGTCTTATGTATGTATGTATGTATTTTTTTCTCCTAGAGAGGTCTTATGTATGTATGTATGTATGTATCTATGTAGGTATGTAGGTATGTATTGTATTGTATTGTATTGTCTTCTCACTTGCACGTTTTTGTAGTTGTCTCTATCGGAGGTAGGGCAACACGCTCCCCTCATGTTTTACACATGAGACGTCCGAGCGCGAGAGGTAGTATAGTATTGTATAGTATTGTATTGTATTGTATTGCAGTGTATTGTATTGCATTGCATTGTATTGTATTGTATTGTACGTATGTACGTATGTACGTACCGACGTACGTACGTACGTACCTAGGTAGGTATGTATGTATGTATGTTTGGTTGTTTGTTTGTGTGTATGTATGTGAGAGCACTTGAAGTCTCATCAGTTCCCTTTGTAGCTCTTTTGTTCACTGTCCCAACGCACCACGCACCAGGCGCTGTACAGGGTTGAAATGGGACCCAAACGGCTCAGTCGTGCTAGCCTCAGTATTCTACCGGTTCTTACACTCTTTCAGATGTTTTTGGTGACGTGGTCCCTCAGGGACCGGGGTATTCTTTGCCCAGTCGCCCCTCCCAGTTTTTGATTTATGAGAGGATGTTTTTGCCAAAATCGTTTGGGGAGATGTATCTATTGAGGGGCTATCAGATCGTCGACAGACTGAGTCTACTGAGACACGAAGTACAAGTTTGTTACACTATAAATTTGCACCCAGATTTGCGTACTCTCACACAGGTGGCCATTGCTGGTATCCAGGCACAGGGTGCAACCAATGAGCGAGAGGCGCAGAATGGTCCAGAATCATCTCAAGTGTGGACACTTTCTGCGTTACTAACCGTTACTACCGTACTTGTTCTTTGGATCCGAACATCCGAAACAACCTTTATCACGATGCATCACCGAATGAGAATCTTGACGAGCGAAGTCTTAAAAACAAGTTCATGGTCGGCGATCCTGTGTATAGCATGAACACCTTTTGTGTTTTTCCTCTCACCAGTTGTGCACATGTGGTTTGCCAGGTTGGCGTGGTGCAATTCTATGCTCCCAGCGGCCAACATCTCCGCTCTTTGCCGCACAGCAGCAGTTGAGATAAAAACATGTCGATTGTGTGCACCATCGTGTGACAACACACGGACGAGACGGTTTTTCCATGCACAAGACCTTTCCATGCCCTACGAAGTCCGACTCACTGGGCTAAACAGTGCTGTTCCCAGATGTTTCCTTTCTCCTAAACGGTTATACAGGCTAGGCTGTTGGGCTGTGTTTGCGATCAAATGCGGTGTTTGTGAATATATAGTTCAAAGCAGGTGATGTGTAAGAGCGCAATGATAAACTTCGCGACTCAGGAGACAAGAAACAAAAGGGTACACGAAAGCACACAACAGCCTGAGCACAAACAAAGGTGGATGAGCCGGTCTAAAGCACCTTTTTAAAATTCAGAGGCTCGAAGACTCTACATCTTTGCAAGCTTAAATGTGGACTGTAGATACCAGCTTCAATTCGGCCATACCTAACCCTGTGCTTAGGCGAGTTCCAGGCCAGAATTTGAGGGCCATTTCCTGGGAGGGTGCTGAGCTTAGAAGCGTGCTGCGTGCCAAATTTCTGAATGCGATGCGAATGCACACTTGACTCAACATATCAGCAAGCCTTTCGTATCCATTTGGCTTGGCAGACAATGATAACAGTGTCAGCCACGGTGTCAGCATTGTTTTGTTTTCTTCACGGATTGTGAGGAAGTGGTCTTCGTTTGGCCCTGGCAGTGGACTCGCACATCTTTTTTGCAAACATCAGGCGGGTCCGCTACTAGGAGCAAAGGGCATCGCTACTAGGAGCAAGAACGCTACTAGGGGCTCCTGGCCTTACCACTAGGAACCAGAAGCCACTAGGAACTTTTTCTATTTTCATTGCCCCTGAACGAGTTCAAGTTGTGACATACAGTACCTACTGGCTTTCCAAAGGGCAGCACAGCTGCAAACGCTAAACGTTTTTGTCCGTTTTGGGCAGTGTCTTCAACACCTCGTGGTTGTACCTTGCCTTTGCGCTTTTCAGATATGCCACTGAGATGAAACAGACAGAACGGTGTGAGCAGTCAGGCCTGGTCGCATATTCTGGCAACTAAGGCCAGATTACCTTTGGGGCTACTTTTCCCACACCTTGGTGTATGCTGCCGGCTGCTAAGACCGCCACAAGCTGTCCTGACATGCGTAGAGAACTGAGACAATCAATCTGAGATTGTCCCTTGATAATTGATGCCTCTCCATTGAGAGTCCCCAGTCGTGAAAGCCACATTGGAAGAAACAATTTTCCATCCACGGTTTGTGGCACTGAGTTCGCAAATCGCCAACGAGAGACGCGTGGCCGACCCCGAAGTTTCAAGGTACTTCGAAAAGAGCGAAATGAACACGTCGTGATCTTCTGGGATACTCACACCGACGATGCTTGAGCTGCAGCTTTGTACCCATTTAATCATATTTAATCTTTAGTTTGGTGAACAAGGGACGGATTGCAAACAGAAAGGAGTGCTCTCAGCACCTTTTGGTTTTGCATACTTTAGAACAACTTTTCCACTGTCCCCTTACAGCTTGTGTCAGGTTTGTTTCGCGCTGTCCCTTACTCCAATCTTGTTCAGAAACATTGCTTTCCAGACAAACTTGCAAAATAGGACTTTCCAAGTAAATCTCCAAACAACAATTGTGACCGGCATTTGCCCCACCATTGTCTGTGCAGACTGTTAGAGTAATTTTCACAACAATATATCCTTGGACATTGACATTTTCCGATATTGCACGTCCATTACTCGCAACGTGGCCGGGATCTGGGGCTTGTGGTCTCCCAAGTTTGTAGAGGCCTTTGGCAGTGCACTTGCAAGTGCTGATGTGAATTATTTGTCCAAAGAATGATTAAGAGGTGCATTGCCAGGGCCTCCCGTTTTGAGTCAGGGAGGCTGTAGCAGTGCACTCACTCTGTTTAGCAGGCTTCCCACCTTATCCAAAACCCTCCGTCACACCATGCTACAAACCTCAGTTTTGAGAGACTGTATAGAATGCGTCCCGCCTTATCCAGAACCTTCTCAATTATACAAGGCTATTGTCTATTGTATATCTTTCTACGACCATGCTCATCCTTGATAATAAGACCCTGACCGCATAAATGCATATATATATATATATATGCTACCCCTCCCCCGTTGTACCTACTTTTAGCCCTTGTTGGCACCTGGATTCCGGAAGATGGGTGCATTAATGGAAGGTGGAAAACAAACACATCAACTTCCCAAAAGAAGAGTATACATATAAATTTAATGAAATTATTAAAATACCCAAGTGGATTACTAAACACATACCTATAGAGGATGAATGGGATACAGAGGCTATATGTAAAAAGATTATGGATGTCACAGAGCCGGTGATTATTAAGGCAAAATTTGCTGAAAGTGGCAAGAGTTATATTGATGAATATTTTTTAAACTGAATAAGACTGTTTTGTTTGTTATGCCTAATAACCGGCAACTTCAAGAGAAAATGTGTGAGGGTCTTGAAGCAACTACTTACAATAAATTCTTTTCCATAGCAGTAGGTGAGGATGAAGAAGGAAAACTACCTAAATTTGATACTCAGGTTTTGATGTCATTGCTTTTGATGAGGTGTTTATGGTAAATATCTATATCAAACATATGATACGATTATATATTTGGGTGAGGAATTGATTGCTAGAAAGTGGGTGAAGAAACCCAGGGTAAACATAAACATCCGATACAGGATTACAAAGATTGAAGGTGGGCAACTCACCATATAAAACATATTTGATGACAACAATGTCATTGTGTTGAGTGAGGAGTTTGTGGACGAGACATTCATTTACTCACATTGCGCTACGTGTCATTCTTCACAAGGTTCATCAATCAAAGAAACTTTAGCAATACATATAACTATGGCAGATGTGGAGGAGTTCTTTTAAACATAATGTGGAGGTTAAGAAGAGGTTTTAATTCCTTTGTAGCTCCACATAACAACAATCATACTTATCAGCTTGATATATTTTTTACTTCTTCAGAAGATATTGAAGCAACACAAAAATTTAGAGCAGGGCTGGTTATGATAGATGTTTTGAGCAAGTATGCGGTAGTAGTGCCAATAAAGAGTAAGACACCTCCTGATGTAATTGCTGGAACAATGGAAGGTCCCCAAAAGATGAAAACAAAACCAAAAATCATTTTTACCGATGATGAAAGAGCAATAGCAAGTGCTGATTTTAAAGAATACATTGAAGCTGAGGGAATTGAGTTATATAGAACTAGAGGTCACCCTGCCTTTGCTGAAAGATTTATAAGGAGTTTTTCTTGCGGATCTTGTGACATTACAATGACAAGGTCTTACGTGTTTCACAGGATCTTGGCACCTGTTAGTCCTAGGACTTAATAAGGGAGGTCCTAGGAGGTCCTGGGACCTGCCAAGAACCAAGAACCAAGAACCAAGATTGCAGCAAGACTTTTGGACAATCTTGGTTCTTGGTTCTGGGCAGGCATATCCTAGGACCTCCTAGGACCTCCTTGGACCTCCCCAGATGTAGTGGTAGCATATCCTGATCTTACTGTGGTACTGTAGAACTATATATGCCAACCCAGAGGATGTGCGGGCCATTTTGTTTCCCAGAAGATGTGAACATGTCGAGATGACTTGTGCAAAATGCTCGTATATATATATATATATACAATGTACGTAATATTTCTCTAAATTAGTGATAAAAGCATGCAAATACGAGTAAAAGTACAAAAAAGGTAGGTACAGGAGGGGGGCCCCACCATAAATATATATATATATATGTACACATATGAGTCACGGAGTTAATCAACAACGTATCAACTCTGGTCTAGTATTTCCTTTGTATTTACTGTTTCTCCGAAACTAATCAAAACAAGAGCTCTGGGAAAAACACAGTATTTTTGTCTAAGAGAGGCCCCTTAAGAGTACGAGCGGCTGGTGAACAACACTATGATAGATCTGATAGATGTGAGGAAGAAATCAAGAAATAGAGAAACATAGACGGAAATAGAAAAGACTGGACAAGTCAATTTAACAAAGGAAGTTGCTAAGCAAAAGAAAGAGATGCAAACCAATAGTGGAGCTAAATTAGACAGTGGAACATCGAGGAAACGTACCTGTAGTTAAACAAAGGAGCACGCATTTACACCGCTGCGCGGCGAAGACCGCCCGCACGGAAAGCACTTCGGGCAGCATAACTAACATTATCAATAGTTTTCATGTTTCTCCTTCGGGAAGGCCGCAGGGGCAAACACACACACACACACACACGATGTACGTAATGCCAATAATGCATACTCACTCAGGCAGCAGAACTAACATCGCCAATGATTTGCTCCTTTTTCAGCCGCTTTTGAAAGGAGATTCTAGAGCAAAAAACTCCCCCCAAAGCTAACACTTAATGAGCGATCTAGCAATTGCTAGCGGCTTACGCCAACTGAGACAACGCCTCAGCACCTTCGGCGCGGGCGGATTTCAAGATTGTTATGTGGCAATAAGTCTGGCAACTCAATACATCCCGAGGATCAGTTTAGTATGGCAAAGCTGAAAAATCAAGGAATACTCGAATAGACTAATCAAAATTAAGATGATTACTGTAAATGTAGCGCTCACGGAGCTCCCCTCTCATCACAATTTTGTTTGGTGTTGCCATGCCCATGAGGAGAAGTACACGAAGTACATCAAACACGTGACGCGCCTTTGCTGCAGGAGATCAAAAAGACAGGAACAAAATAGGCAATGAGGAATGGTTCATGTTCATACTGTAAAGAACTCTGGAGTGCTTGTGGAACAGGGATCATTTATTGAATCATTGTTTGAACCTCTCCTTCGCCGTGGTTTACCAGTGGTCAGACACAAAGTTAAAGGGAAACGAGGCTCAGATACACCTCCGGGTAGTTTTCGGCTCAAAAATTCTTTGTGAAACAGTTGCCAGCCTTCGCACTTCTCTTATTAGGGGATGATGAAGCTCCTTCCAGCCTCGCTAGTGACACTGGCAGCTGCACAAGCAACCTGGTGTCGCTGGGTGCCCTTGGCCTCTCAACAATACGTCCCTCAATGTGCCTTGTCAAACTTAGATGTTTTCCGGGTCTATCGTCAAGGACGATGATGAGTTTCTGACTTGTAAGCCCATTTGGCCAACCATGAGTTATCATTGTTTTGGCCAACGGTCTAAGCGGGTCCCCTGCAGGAAACCATAATTTTCAAGGCTTTTCATGTTTGGGGACTGTGTGCGGGCCTCGGGAATAGCATTAGCTTCAGTGGCAGCAGCAGTGTTTCTGGGGTGGGTGTGGCGTGGTGGGCTGGGGCTGCAGTTGCACAAACTTCAAGTAAACTGTACACCGTCTGCTGCAACCATCCTGTCACATGCAGCACACTACCGAGTTTTGTCTTTCTTTGTGTTTTGTTCTTCGGTTGCGTTTGAGCCGGTATTGTTCCACTTGTTGAAGCATATTACTTTTGGCAATCGATCCTTGGGTTTTGGATTGTGCTTTGGGTTTCTTTAGCTGACCCTCTATGCAAGCCCCTTGCTTTGACCACTTTGGACGGGGTGCTTTAACATCAGACGTGCATATCAGGTGGGCCCCCATTGGTGTCAATGCCTTGTTTTTGAGGCTCTGGCTATGTCTATCCAATTGGCATCAACTATGGCTATCCTATTTGCACCAGTTGGTGCCAATGGATTCCAGGTCCATCTTGGGCATCCACACCCGAATGCCGTGGCTGCTACATTATCTTCTCAACAAGCTACCTGTCTGCAAGCACGCTCCCAGCGCAAAGCGGATGCCAAAAATCCTGCCAATGGCTATCAAGGCTCGCTGGGTCCTTATGGCAGGCTCCTGCATGATTCAGATAGTGACGCGGAATTTCTGCAATTGTGCCAAATGATTTGCTCATGGACACAAACACACACACACACACACACATTTCGGGAATCCTGGTGGTCAGTGTGTCATTGACAGAACTGTTGCATTTTAGACACAGCCACTTCAATGCAAATTTCCTGTGAACTATATTCAATCTGAGAGCCTCATGATTGGGACCTTCCTGTTGAGGTCAGTGGTGTGTGGAGCGTTTTTGGGAAGTACGCTTTGACAGAGACGTTGTCCACAGACATAGTATATATATATATATAGATCTTTCCATGAGCATATCATACTGTAGATCTGTACAGTTTTTCTTTCTTTTGCTTTTAGCATCACTGCCCGCCCTGCCACAGACCCGTTTGGGAGACCACCTCTGGCTGCAAGACTTGCGAACAGCCACTGGAGAGATCTGTGCAGCGAACCTCGCCGCTAGCGAAGATGAAGGCGAACACGCAGACACCAGATTGGTGCCACTGGGTGTCTTGCCCTCGCAGCCGAGGATCAAGAATATGTAATCAAGACACGGCCGGAAATTGAATTGGTTGCGCAACTTGAATGTTGTGTTGCTTTTGATATACAAAAGATGATAGGCAAGGTAAGTCCAGAGGATATTGGTGTGGCCATGGGCATTGGTAGACCAATAGATATGGGGAGTCGGAGTCAGAGAGCAAATTATGCAGAGAGTACAAAAAAGAAAGGGTTCATTGGCCCTCTACTGCATGTGCAAGGTTCCATTGAGCTCTCTGCGATATGTCAGTGACTGCAGTGGATCAAGCGCCAGCCCCATAAGCTCTATCTCCCAGCCAGAAGGCTGTCCAAGCTGGTGTGGCTGGACCTCAGCCTCATCTTGGCAGTACACACCCGAATGCAAACAGTGCACACCAGAGAGCTTGCCAAATGAGACAGACGCTCTTTTGGCACAAGCATATTTTCCCTAATACCATCTCCCTCTCTCTACCTCTATCTTCATTGAGTGGGGGTTTACTTGCATTGCAGATTTCTAGCGTTTACTTTGGAGAGTGTCTTTTGCTTGCAAGTGAGGCTATTGAAACTGGGTGTGCGCAATGGTGCCAATGGGTGTCGCGCCCTGCATGGCAAGAGACACCTGACTGCGCCGGCTGCGAAAGCCCAATACTTACACAGAACAATCCGAACGTGACACATGTCACAAACTTCTCGTATCTCATGGTTCCTGAACTTTTACCATGAGCTTGGCCATGGGCCACTGCTTGACTGTAACTGTACTGTACAGATTTTAATTTTAATACCTGTCCTGCTAGTGCTCTACCGGTGCTTTTGATGTACAGCTTGACAGCTTTCGCTCTGCCATCTGCCCTGCACTGGTTGAAGACAGAGTTTGGCAGCGTCGGGCCTGTAAAGCCTTTGCGTATTTCTTCTGGTATTGAGTCAAAATACCGTCATGGCTGGTGGTACAGATGACAGACTTTGTTTTTCCTGATGAGTTTCAAACTACTTGTCTTCTGACCTCGCACAAGGTTTCGCTTGACTCCTCCAAGGCACATTCGCTCCTCCGAAGAGTACTGCGTCCTGGTAACGAAGGCTCAAGCAGGGGAGTTTTGGTGGGGTGGCGGGGCGCAGTTGGTACACTGACACACTGCTTCCTTCCGTCCTCCCAAGAGTTTGTGAAGTCCATTCCCCATAAAGAAGTTCATGCACAATAGAGGAGCCCTCTGTAGCAGCATGTTTCCTTAAACTAGATAAAGAGACCTGTTGCAGAACGCACTCGGTCCGAATGCCGCACCCTTGAGGCAGATGATGCCAGCGGGCAGCACATTGCAGCTTTCTCAGGGACAATTTGCCGTGATGAATGCGAACTGCAAGTAGGTGACAGACCTGCCTTGACATGTTGGACCCAGGTCATTGTTTGCAATGATATTGGCAGTCCAGTGGATTCCAAGCAGCTTGGTGGCAGCTTCCCTCTGATAAAATTATGGATGTCGCTACTCGTGAGAAGAGGTGCACCAATTAAGTCAAGTTTGTCACACGCAGCTCAAGGTACATGCAGCTGGAGCCGATGCATGTGGCCATGACAAATTCCCATGTCATTGCGACCTCTGAGGACATTTGGGTGACAAGTGACAACCCTGTCTTGATTTGACTCTGTAAGTGGGCTTTTATTTCTTTGGATGGCTTGGCTACAAATAGAAGCAGATTGATTTGAGGTTGTTGCATTGTGGGAAGAAGCTTTCTCTACATTAGTTGTACGCAGCTGTGTGTAGTGTAGGCAGGTTTTCAATGCTCTTGGTGAGGATGTGGTGTACATTTGGAACTATCGGAGCAGTGTGTCACGGCAAGCACAGGCCGAGGGCTGCTAGGAAGTGGGTTGGTATATAGATGCTTTGAGTTCAACCTATAGACTCTTGGAATTCTTCTAGAATTCAATGGCAAAGATCCGTTGCTGCGTTGCTTGTCTAATGCTTGCCCTGAGGGCGATCTGGCTTCAGCAGCAGCTGGTATGAAGCAGTGGCACCGACCAGATTGTAAAAAAGACACATGGAAAGTACTCAGAAAAGCATTTCAGATTGAACAGTAATGCCATCAATTGAACAACTTATATAGTAAGTTTAAACATATATTTCTTTCGTGACAATCGGTGAAGACACTGTGCCAGGAGAAGAGCAGAGATGATGCATTTCTTCCATGTTGCATTGCTTTGCTGGTGACAGGGCTTGTCGTGACATGCTTGTTTTCACTTGCTTTTGCATCCGCACATTTTGCGCACATCCGGCGCATGGAGTGCTGCAGAACATGCCAGGTTCCACATTGACGAGTCATTCGCTCCGGGCTCTGGTACGCATGACAAGGAGCGGATTGAACTTGTACTCTGGCCACATTTGAAACAGTCTCGGAAGAGCCAGTTTGCTTTTTGATCTTCCAAGGACTAAACGCAGTATTTGTTTGAGCAAACATGTGCTGCTAAAGGAGGGCTTTGTGCCGCCATCTACAACTACTCAGGACATTGTGCAAAGAGGGAAGACATAGAGGCTTTCAACGTATGAAGAAAGGCATGAGGTACCTTCTGAAGGACCTTCCAATTTGTGACAGGATCCCATTGCGTGCATTTGTGCCACGGAACAGTGTCTTCTTGTGGCTCGCGAAAGCGGCATTGTGCAGCGATATGCGTTGCTGGGGGCCTCAGCGTCTCATGGCTCCACTTGGAGTGTGTGAAAGGAATACTGTTTGCGGCTTGCTGTTGATTTAATTTGACCTCTGCCGATCAGGCCACACTTGGCCCTAGAGGCACGTTTTACAATTCGTTGCCGGCCACAGGCCAGAGACAGCTCGTGGAGCTCCGGGAGAACTCTTTGACACCTCAATTTTCAGGGGTTGTTGTCCTGTGTCTAGACATCTCAGATTGCTGAACCGATTCTTTAACTAATCTGAACAAGCATTGTACCTTCACCAAATTGAAAAGAGACAAACATTATGCTCCAGGTGATAGCAGCCAACTGTGAGAGCACGCGAATGTCGGTCATAGACATCAATGGCGTCTGGAACTCGAGCTTTCAACTTGCCTCTACCAGACGTGGAGTAGCTGTGGACTGTCGCATACGCAGCCGCCCGCCACTCTGTTTTTTGCTTGCTGGCTGGTACGGACCTCCAGCTTCTCGCCGGCTATGCCTCCTGTTTTTGTATTATTCTTGCCTTCCTGTTGAGCCCCCGTTGTTTTTGAGAAGTGCGTGTATATATACAAATATATGTATTATAGTATATTATATAAAATATACACTGTATATCTATAAGCAGTATATAATTAAATTAGTAGTGTCCGAATTACTTCCCATGCACACTGAGTTCTCAAAAGAGGATCATTATATAGTCATGGCGGTTTGTCAGTTACTGCTGAGGTTCTTTTGCTCTTTGACATCGAGGTCGGATGTTTCGTTGGTCTTTACTTTTGGTTTGACATTAGCACGAGAAGCCAGCAGGGTGTCTTTAAAGACAGTGCTCTCTTGACCCAAGTGACGTTTTGCTTCCCATACTTCAGTGCGGGCAATGAGTAGCAATTATATATATATGCAAACGATGTGGCATTTCCTGTACAAGTTTGGACTTGTCTCGGTTGGGCTAAACCGAGGTGAAGACCACGGGCTCCTTTGGAGATGTCAAGCCCGTATCTCCGGAGGACTGTTGCACCCAATGTAGGTTGATGCAGGCAGCTTGGCAGCTTACCGGATCCCTGAATTCTACAACAGTGTAGGTATCTATTTGTGTTTTTGGCGTCAGCAATGCAGGTTGATGCCGGATATATGTTTGAGAGACACGCCTCTACACAAACCTTATATTCAACTCATCACATGCAGAATCCGACACGGCATTCCAGAGATACTATACTCGCCTGTGGACTCAAAGTGTGCCGCTGCTGAAGTCGACGGGCTCAAACACAAAGTGAACGTGTCACTCTGATACTTTGCAATCGAGATGGAGGCTTCTTGGACATGTTCATTCATGGTACATGTCTAATTAATGCTTAATGTGCCCTTCACGAATGTCGCTGTAGCCAAGCAAGGAAACTTGGTATCTTGGGGACAGACATTGTGACACGCTTCGTTGACTTGGGAGACAATGATATCAAGGGCAATCGGATGTATCGATGGGTAGCAGGGAAAATGACGGGCAGATTTGCTTGTGAACTGGCAGCGATTTCCAGACAGGGTTGTTGGTAGTCTCTTTGCACATTGGTTATACCTTAAGTTTCCCTAAACATCTAGGAACCAAATGAATAGTGCGAGCGCTTCTTCAAGGAAGTTTCCCCTAAAGGCGGCGGGGAGCTTCCTTGAAGAAGCGTGAGCTATCCTTCGTCCATACTAGTAGCGTACTAGTAAGGTACTAGCTACCTCTCCTTACTAGCTACCTCTAGCTACTACCTCCCTCTACGGCCTACCCCCCCGGGCAAAAATAAGATCGGGATATCGATTGGCAATCTGGCAGAACTGAAGGAGTCCGTCCTGTTCAGGCAATGGACGGCAACAACCTGTTGGGCTTCACCGAGGCGCACCGCACCGTCCGTTCTCATTCCTTCTTTTTGTGTTTGTGGATATTCCTAGTAGCGTCCTTGTTCCTAGTAGCGATGCCAGGAGCCCCTAGTA